AACTGCCAATAAATTAAAGATAGTTAACACTACGCTTTGGCTATCACCTCTGCTTTGCTCAATTATACTAAACACTAAGCAAAATACTTTTATAAATTGATCTATTACTCTAAATATTAGGTGAACTATTTATATAAATTAATACTCTTACTCTAATATTAGACAAAACATTTTTATAAATTGATACTCTTATCCTAAACATTAAGGCGAATTATAATGATGCTTAATCTCTATTAAAATATTAATAAATAAGCAATTATATGCAATATTATATTTTTAATTAATATGCAATTATACAATGTATTATATTACTCATTTTCTTTACCAACTACATTAACAAATAGACATTTCTTTTGATAATGTTCAGGTTTTTTACATAATAAGTACCTGCATTGTTGTTTTAAGCTTGTTTCACTATGATCAGCTTCTTGAACAATATTTGTGACTTCATTCAATACTTTTCCTTTGATAATTCTGTAACAGCTTTAATTCTTCTTTTGCAAGAAGCATCACGAAGTTTAGTAACGTTAGAACTAGTTATCTGATCAATTAATGCTTTTGTAATGGAATTATTTCTTCAGTATCCTGATCTTTTTTAGAATTGTAATTTTCTGTACTAACATTCTCTTTAGGTTCATTTATATCACCTTTATGCTTCTTTTGATTCATTGCAATAAAATCTTTTAGTAGTCGAACCAATTCTGCATCTTTATTAGTTTCTAAACCAACTTTAATAGCAGTTTTGGCTGTTGAAAATACAATTCTATATCAATTCCTTTGTAAGATATATTTGCAATCTACTTTATTATAATCAGATTTATTAAAATTTTGTACACTTTGAAAATTAAAGGTTATTTGAAAAAACTAGTTGGAGAGTAATTTTAATGCAGTAAGTACAGAAAAATTTTTAACATTAAAATCTAATTTAGTATAAATACTATCTTTATACTATCTAGCAGATATAATACTTATATGAAATCTTGTAAAATGTGAGTATAGTATAACATACTAGAAATGCTAGCAAATTATACCTTTTGTAACAGTTTCTATACAAGTACAAATATATATTCCATTTGCAAAAAGCCTTACCAAATTCTCTTTATATGAAAGCCCACCTATATGATGAATTTTCCAAGTTTTAATTATATTTTTAGCTTCTATACTACTTAAAAAAGATTATAAAGTAGTTTGTAGCTCATCCAATATATTTTCTATAAAATAGTCATTAATAGTTTTCTATTCTAAAGTCTATAAAATAAGCATAACAATACAACATATTATATACATGCTTATAAACAATAAGTAATATAAATAATAAGATTTCTTTACTTCGATAGAATATAGAACTAATGAACCCTCATATGTAATGATTGGAATATTTAAAATTATTGTTATGATAGTATAGGTGGTGTTAAAAACTGAACAAGAATCATATTTACACTTGAAAAAAATTGAGATAAAAGATGCAGAAGACCAATAATTATATATTGATTCTTAAGATCTATCAATTTATAATATTGAGATTTATCCTCATGTCTTTTATTAATCTTCTGCTATAATATCATATACAGTATTATCATAATTGTACCTCTTATAATAGTAAATTGCTAATAGTAATCAATTTTTTAGAGGTACTATTTGCTAAAAATTATGGTATATACTGTATATACTGTAGTATTGTATTTAAATATAAATACTACTAAAAGAAAAAGTTTATTTATTTTTTTTTAATGTTAAGGTGAGGTCATGCCTCTGATTTTTTATTAATATATACTTATTATAATAAGTCTTTTATATATATATTAATACATCACTACAGAAACTTAGACTAATTTATCTATAATCTAAATCTACTAGAATGTTATATATCTCACATATGTTTTACCAGCTTTGCACTTTTCAATCAACTATTTTTAGTAAAACTATTTTTCTTATATATTATACAATTAGTTATAAATTTCAATTTGATATATTGGGTGTCTGCTCTTAATGAGCTTCTAATTTGGTATACTTGCAAGTACAATCTACTGCAAGTTCTTACTAAAATACTTAACATTCTTTTTCTAATATAGTGGTATTAACTAATCTATTTGTATTTCCTTATATAGTATATTATCAAAA